CAATTACATTAATAAGATATATGCATATAAATGGAGCATTAAGGAACAAACCGTCTCGGTGTGCGCCTCCCGGAAATGCTCGGTGGGCGTGTTTATTTCCGGCCTTTTATCACAGTTTGAGAAGGCTAGCTTTCTGATTGGTTTAGCTTCTGTTGCTATGGTTACGACTCTAGCCCGCCCCCTCAAGGACGTTAATGTCTACATTTCAGATAAGAAGTTTTGCCTCACTGAAATCGTTCGTTTTAGCTGTTTGTTTAACGTGATTATACCTTAGTGATACCAAATGATTTGACTTAAAGTTGTTTATTTCTAGGAATAATTAATAACTATTAATTGTTATCTAACTCATGTTTGCGTGTTCTTACTTGATCCTTTTTATACTTTTTAGTTTAGTTGCTGTTGTAGCTTACTGTGACAATTAACCCTGTGTCCTCTCAGCTAAACCGACCCTGTATTCAACAAGGATTAAATGTTAATGGTTATTATTAAGAGAGATCCTGAGGGATCTTATTTAGTCAAACTATATTAAGTCTAAATTAAAGAGATGTGTTCAAGCTTTATTTATGTTAATCAGTCTGCTATCTGGCATGATTTGTTTGCTTGTAAAATATCAAATGTGAACTTGTAAAATTATCCTTAGCTAATATGAGATTATATTTAAAGGTCAACTAGTTAGAATTAGCAAACATTTTCTATAAATATAGTTCAACCCTGGAAGAAAGACACACACACACTTTGTATAACATGACATTTGAATGCTTGATAGGAAATATAAAAAAGGTATAAAAATATGAAATCCAACACCATCTAAACACAAGCAGAACTGGTTTGTTCCACTTTAGAGTAAGCTGTTGGGGGAAGAATCAGTTTTGTTGTGTGTTTCCTTGATTGATGAAGCCTTCTGGATCGAAGGCGAATGTTTCAGCACAAAAAAAGAAACTGTCTAGATGACCTGACTGAAAAATGTTGGACATAGTTATATAGTAACATATAACATATAGTACAGTAACACATAGT